TGCCCGGCCCGAGCTGAGCTGCCACTGAGCTGCCAACAGGTGGCAGGATGGCTCAGCTAAAAAAAAAAAAAGAAAGAAAGAAAAAAATACTACATAAGCTACAGGAAATTAGTTTCAAGTGAACACATATTTTCAAGATAGGGAAGGCTTTTTTGAAGAAAGAAGGGAAGAGCTTAGGGTGGGACATTAAAGCTATTGAAGACAAGGTGGGGTTCATTGACCATATGGGGACATTACTTTCTGAGAGAAGGTACAACTTTTTCTGAGACAAAAGGAAAGATGACCCTGTAGCTATGAAGATGGAGCTGTGTTAAAAGGTTTGGCCAGAGCAAATTCAGAATGCCCGTTCTTTCCTAAATGAAGTTGTAGGTAAGGTCTTTTATTGAGATTAATGGTGAGAGGCTTAGGAGAGAGAATGAGGATCTGAAATTGCTGTCAGGTACAGCATTAAAGGCCTGCTGAAGTTGGGTGAATTTTTAATTAGAATGGTATATACAGTCAAAATGCCTTCAATCTAAGAAAAGAGGCAAAAAAAAAGTGAAGATGAGAGTGATTCTTGTTAGTGTGTTAGCTCAGTTGAAACTCAGGGGATTGGGAGTCCAGAAAAGTTGTAAGGGCCCAGTTGTGGTATATGAGCAAAGTTCAGTTTAAATAGAGTTTGTCAAATGCAATCCCAGCCTATGGACTACATGATCCATTAGGTAGAATATTTTTTTTTTTTTTAGAAAAAGGAAGTAAAAATTTATTTTTGGTAAATGTGAAAAGATCTCACTTGATGAAATAAAATTTACAACTGTTTAAGATTTCCCTTTTTTTGCTTTAAAATATAACCATAACTGGTCTTAAATAATTTAATATTAAAATGCGTTAATAAGGAGTCAATGTAAAAAATATGCAGATTTACTTCTAAGTCAATTTGTGTAGCATTTTTTCCCCCTCACTTCTTGTTTTATACAGAGAGATTTATTAATTTTAAAAAGAGAAGTGTTTTATAGGAATACATACAAATATGTGGCAAGTTAAGAAGCTGAACAAAATTGTTTCGGCACCGTTACTTCCTGTTTGCTTTAAAGAGATTAACTAATCTCTGTGACCTTACTGCTTCTTTCCTCCATCTTCTTTTTAAATAGACTGTTTGGATTGCATAAGAAAGTCATCAATATGGTACACAATTTACTATCCAGTCATGACTCAGACCCACGGTACTCTGACCCCCAGATAAAGGCTCGAGTGGCCATGTTGTATCTACCTCTGATTGGTATTATCATGGAAACTGTTCCTCAGCTGTATGATTTTACAGGTATTTGATATATTTAAGACAACTTTTAAAGGCAAATTTCAACATGTAAAAGTGTTAGAAAATGTCTCAAGGATAAAGATCTTATTTGCGGAAACGAAATATAAAGAAATGTGCACTAACATAAGTAAACTATAAATACTTAACCACATTACTAAAACACTTTTCACCATGTGAGAGACTTCACTGCAAGGTTTCTGTAAGTACTTTATGACGAATTTTAAAATAATGATTTGGTAGCATTTCTATCCCTACCTATTAGGAAATAGGTTTTTGTGTGTGTATTGTTTATCTGAAAAAAAATACAAGAAAACCTGACAAGTATCTACTACCCTCAGTGTCAATTTTATTATCTATATATAATCAAAATTAATATTCACCTGTATAACAAGAATTATGTTTATTACTAACAAACACTGGGTTAAATAAGTTGAAGTTTTGTTCCTTTTAAAAAATAAAACTTATGAAGTTTTATTGCTCTTGCTTTTCATATTTAGAATTTACTTATATACAGTGCTCAAAAGAAAGCACTGTAAGTTGCATTTAAACTAGCAATTAACATGATAAAGTACTTCCAGTTCAACAAAAACAAAAACATTTACCAAGTACCTAATATGCATTAAGAACCTCAACAGGTGCTGCTGATGCAAAGATAACCAGCTCCTTGCCTTTGAAGGACTGATAGTTGAGTAGTTTTCCCAGTATTTTGATCACTGAAGTGAGTTTCCTTATCTGAAGGCAGAAATGTTTAAATTATTGTGTCTTCTTTTACTAGTAAGTTAAAGTTTGCTACGAAACTATGAATTATTGTTAATGTTTAAAATATTTAAAACATTGTTTAAAAGATGTAAATATAAAGATAAATATTACATGTTAGAGTTTTTTTTTAAGAGTGATGGAGAATAGAAAGGGGAATTGTATGCTCAGTAACTGTTAATCAAGCTAAACAGAAATTTTATTTATTTATTTTTGGATTATTTTTTCCAGAAACTCACAATCAACGAGGAAGACCAATTTGTATAGCCACTGATGATTATGAAAGTGAGAGCGGAAGCATGATAAACCAGACGGTTGCCATGGCAATTGCAGGAACATCAGTTCCTCAACTAACAAGGCCAGGCAGTTTCCTCCTGGCATCAACGGTAAAAACAGCCCTCCTACAGAGTTTTTTCTGGAAAGACAGATATTTACAAGGATGTACCCTTAAATAACCGAGATTCTTGTATTAGCTGATGCAGAAGTACCCTGAGTTTAATTTATTTTGTGGAAGCACTAAGAATATTGCCTATCTTGTACCGAGTTGTTTTGAAAATTATTAATTACCTCAGGGCTTATGGTGTAAAGACCTCTGTTCTGTCTGTCATTCAGAATTTTGGAAGTTGTCTTATTATATAGCATATTTTCTTTTTTAAATCCATTTTATTCTTTATCAGCCCTAAGAAACATTCTCAATTGTTTAGTAATTGAGAATTTTTTTCATCTGTGAAGTTTTATGCTTTTTCATGTTTAAAAAATTGACATTTACTCTGCCTGTAATATTTTCCCCTTAAAGAGAGAAGGATCTGAGGGTAGGGAGGAAATAAACTGCCAATAGAGCAAGATCAAGTTCTAAAAGTTTTAAATGACTTTCTTTCAGAAAAATGCAATATTTATGGAAGTTGTTATATAAACTTAAAAAAGAGTTTTACTGAGGTAATTTACATATCAAAAGATTGACCCATTTTAAGTGTACAATTTCATGGTTTGTAATATATTTACAAAGTTGTGTAGCCATCACCACAATCTAAGTTTAGAACCTTTCTATCACCCTAGTAAGAACCCTTAGGCCTATTTAGCAGTCACTACCTGTTTTCCCCAGCCCCAGTTCCAGCCAGCAACTAATCCATTTTCTGTCTGTATAGATTTGCCTATTCTGGATATTTCATAAAAATGGAATTATTCACTGTGATCTTTTGTTTCTGGCTTCTTTCACTAAGCATAATGTTTTTAAGGTTCATCCATGTTGTAACATATATCCATACTTCTTTGTTTTTTAAATCGTCAAATAGTGTTCCTATGTATTGATATCTATGTTTGTAAGATTGCCTGTAACTGTTCTTTCTCATAATGTTCTTTTCAGGTTTTGGAATCAGGGTTAAGTTAGCCAATTAAAATGAACTGGGAAGTTTTCCCTTTTATAATGTCTCTGAAAGTACTTGTTTAAAATTGGAATTATTTCTTCCTGGAATATTTGAAGAACTTGCGGGTGAAGCCATCTGTACCTGCAGTTTCCTTTTTATTTTCTTTTTGAAAGTTTTAAACTTAACTATTTTAATTTCTTTAATGACTATAAAGTTTACAAGCTTTCTAAATTTTTTTACACTGGTTTCTGAAAATTTTATTGTAATAAACATTTATTCAAATTTTTTGACATATACGAAGTTGTTCCAAATACCTTCTCTGGTCTTTTAATGTCTATAATATCTGTGGTAGATGTAAATGTTTTCATTTCTGTGACTGGCTTTTTGTATGTTTTGTCTTAAATCAGTCTCAACAGAAATTTGTATGTATCTTTAGTCATAAAAAAACGATTTGGGGGCAATATTGATCCTCACTTTTGAGTATTTATTTTGATTATTACTGTCTTCTACTTTCTTTGGGTTTATATTGGGTATTCTTTTTCTAACTTCTTGAGATAGATGCTTAACTCACTAATTTTCATCCTTTCTTCTTTGATAATTTAAGCCTATACATTTCCTTTAATTATCATTTTAGTTACATGCTACAATTTATACATAACATTTTCATTATTCAGTTCAAAATATATTTAAAGTTGATTATGATTTCTTTTAGACTTTTGGGCTATTAAGTTTTTTTGTTTTAAAATTTCCAGTAATATGAAAATTTCTAGTAATCTTTTTGTTTCTGATTTTGTCTGAATTTCATGATTAGATAACTTACTCTGTATAATTTCGGTTTGTTATATTTGTGACAAGTGGTTTTATGGTCCAGTATACGGTCAGTTTCTGCAAGTACCTCATGTTTTTTAAAAGAATGAATATTCTTCAGTTATTTACAATATTCTGTATTTGTCTATTATGCCCATTACATCAGATTTGTTGATTCTATTGTTTAAATCTTTCTCTTCACTGAATTCTGTCTGCTTATCCTAATATCCCACTACTGCTGTCATTTTGTAATTTCTACTTGTCATTCTGTCAGATCTTGTTTTACTTCCTTTGAGTCCTTATTACAAAATATCTAATAATTTTAAATTGTTACATATTTTTGATAGATTTCACCTTTTGTCAACATGAACCATAATATTTTGTTTGCCTTGAAGTCTATTTTGTATAATATTAGTATAGCTATCTAGGTTTCTTTTCCCTAGAACATATATATAGCATGAGTTTTTCCATTCTTTTACTTTCAGTGTTTTGTCTTATGTTTTAAATGTTTGAAACGTATGTTTTAGATGCGTCTTTTATACACAAAACCTAATCTGTCTTATATTTTTTAAATCTGGTCTCTTTATTTTTGTCTTTCACTGGACTTTTTAATTTATTTTCATTTAGTATAAAGTTAATGCACTTAAGATTTTAATTTTACTTGTTGTCCCACCCATTATATGTTTCTTTATGTCTCATTTATTGTCTTCTTTTGAATTGTGTTTTCCTCATTCCACAATTTCCTCTCTTAATACTTTGGAAGTTATATTATATATTCTATTTCTCTTCTTTTAAGGATTGTATTACCAATCATATTATGCTTCCTTAAATTAAATTCCAGTCAAATGGATATCATTACCTTTATATTCACTTTGGTTAATACAAGGATCTTAAAACAGGTTGACTCTTCTTTACCATTCTCCTTACTTAAATGCCATTTTTATGCATTTAATTTTGTGTATAATTAAACCTCAGAAGACATATTATTATTTTTCTGGCTATATAGAATCAGTTATTTAGATTTGCCCATGTGTTCACCACTTTATTTGTTCTTGATTCTTTCCCTAATTTGTGATCTTCTATAAGACAGGTTTTTCTTCTTTGTGAAATATGTCCTTTAGAATTTTTAAACTATGGTGATAAATTCCCTGCATTTCTTTGAAAAATGTCTTTATCTGACCTTCATTATTTAGGATTTAAAAAAAATTTTTTTAGAAATAACATCTGAGTTTTCTCTTAGCATGCTGACGACATTGTTCCCACTGTCTTCTCAATTCCGTTGATGCTTTTGATAAGTCAGCAGTGTCAAACTGTTGCATCTTGGAAGATAATTTATCCTTTTTTCTGTCTTCTTATTCTCCTTGAAAGTGATTTTGTGTGGTTTCACTCTGTTGATTATAGTTTTGAATTTCTTTCTATTTATTCTGCTTGATATTTTTTGGACTTCTTAAATCCATGGTTCAGCATCTTTCTTCTAATCTATGAAATTCTTGGCCATTATTTGCCCAAATATGTCCTCTTCTCCATTCTGTCTCTTTTCATATTCCAGTTAAACGTATGCATATGTTGGTTTTTTTATTGCATCATCTATGTCTCTACTCTTATGTATATTCCATCTTTTTGTTAACCTTTACTTCATGCTGGTTGTTTCTTTTGATCTACCTTCCAGTTTACTAATTCTTTCCTTAACTGTAACTGATATTAATATATTAAAACAATCCCTTGAGTTCGTGGATTTTGGTTATTGTGTAATTTTTTTTCAGTTTTCTAAATTTTGTTCTATTTTTTTCAAAAACATTTCTCTTTATACTTTGTCAAATTTTTAAGTATTTTGGGGGGGTGCAGCTTTGCATAGAAAGTGTCATTTTATTGTCTGATAATTTCAATATCTCAAGTCTTTATGTACCTGTTTTTGTTCTCTGTTTTGGCAGTTCTCAGTCATAATGTAGTGAGTGCTTCCTTGTGTGCCTGGTTCTTTGACTGTGTACTGGGCTATGTATTTGCAATACTGTTCATAGGTGTAATAAGTGTCCTAGGACTGTGGTCTCTTCCTTCGGAGAAGATTCATTGATTAGTAATACCAGAGCAGAATTCACAATTATCCTTTTTCTTAATTCCTTGGGAGAATAAGGAAAACTGTCCCTCAGCTGTTTTTTGGGAGGGCTTAATTCTCTCATGGAACCCTGGTTGAGAAACACTGTTGTGAATACTAATCTCAGGTTGGTTTTATATGGAGCAGATTTCTACTAATTTATGATATGCCTTTTCTTTCATTTTGTCCTTCTTTGTCCCTTATCTATCTATTTACCTACCTATCTATCTAAATGAACACACATTCCTAATTTTAATGAAAGTGAATATGACCATCTTTTTGTGGTTTATGGTTTATGCTTTTTAGTTTTTTATTTAAGAAATTCTGTCCTACCCCCAGGATCATAAATATACCCTTTTATATTTCCTTCAAAAAATTTTAAAGTTTGCCTTTTACATTTAAGTTTTTCTTCCTTTTTCTGGAATTTATTTTTTTATACTGTGGTATGAGGTAGGAATCTATTGTATTTTTATTTTTTTCTCTAGGGAATTAGTTATCTCAACACCATTTATTGTACAGTCTATCCATCCACCACTGATCCATAGTGCCAGCTCTATTATATATCAGATTTTTATATATTCATAGGATTTTTTTGTGCTTCCTATTCTTTTTCATTGCACTATAGGTCTATCCATATGCCAATATCGAACTATCTTAATTATTCTAATTCTTTAATAAATCCTACCTGGTCCTTCCTCAAGAGTGTCTTGGCTATTCTTGGCCCTTTGCTCCTCTCCATTAAAGTTTTAAATTAACTTGTCAACTTCCAGGAAAAACCTGGCCATGAATTTGATTGGAATTGCAATGATCCTATAGAACAATTTGGGGAAAATCCAACATCTTTCCATTATTGAGTCTTTTTCATGTTTGTTCGCCTTTCTTCAAAATCTGTCACTGTGTTATTGGCAATTTTTATGGAGGTCTAAGATATGTTAATGTATACCTGTTTGTCAAATTCAGGATAATTTAGTCAATATGTTTATGCCTACCTGAAAGTTCAGCTATATAAAGAACCTGCTTCTTTCAAATAAAAAAGCATTTTCCTTTTCAAAGATATTGTGGAATTGGGGGTGGGGGTCAAATTTACGTGTGTCCAGGTCAGAGGCAGTGTAGCATAGCGGTTAGGTGAGTTTATGTAGGTGAATTAATTTACATTTGCATGCATCCATGAGCGGTAGTAAACATGATGAATAAGAGCTTCGTCTCTGGAACCAAACTTTCTGCATTTGAATCCCAGTTCCACAATTTACTGTAAAATACTTGTACAAAATATTTAACTTCTTGGTGTCTCAGTTCTCTGTCTCTAAGATGGTGTGAGTAATAGTATCTCTTTGGATGGTTGCAAGGGACAAATAGGTTATATGCATAAAATGTTTAGTAGAGTGTCTAGCACCGAGTAGGCATTATATACAACGTATGAGTCAGCTGTTATCATTATCATCACCCGGAATAGAGGGAAGATAGGGGAATAACTGAGATTATGATTTTCAACAGTTAAGTATGTTCAGCCTCCTTTGTCTTTCCTCTCAACATCCGTTCATTGCTTTCTTATTATTTAGTATATGTATTAACCAAATATTGGAATGTTGTATAAAAGTGAAGAGCAAGCTTTGGAGTCTGGTTAACCTGGACTGAAAACTGGCTTCACCTTTTCTTAGTATATGAGTTAGGGCAAATTAATCTCTAGCCTTTAGTTTTCTTACCTATAAACTAGAAATAAGAATAGTTAATGCTGTCTCCTAAAATTATTGTGAGAGTTAAATAAGAAAAAGTGGTTAATACAGTGTCTAGTACATTTCAAATTTTGTTATGTTTTGTCATTAGTATTATTATTGTCATCCTGTATCATTGTCTATAAAATTGAGATGATGTAACCAACTTGGTAATATAGTTGGAGGACTGAATGAAATACTGTATTTAAAGAGCTTAGCATGATGATTTGAACAGAGTAAATATCCAGTAAGTGGTCTTGTAAACAAGTTCTTATTCTTCGTTTTTCATTTGTATTTCATATGCTGTATACTAATGCAGATTGAAGATAGAAAATAGCACCTTAACCTTATATGCTATATGTAAAAATGCTTTTTACTTACATATGGTCTAAGCCTTTTCCCTTTTGTCAGTGGCTCTTGACAGGAAATAGTGTTTCTCTAAACCTTATAAACATTATGTTACTACTTTCTATTATACTTATTTACTGAATCAGTTTTGTTTTTTCCTTTATTTGCATCATGTCTGATATTCTGTGGTAGATATCTTTGTTTTTAATAGTAGGACCTTTTAGTTTTTTGCCTTATGTTTTCTGTTAACATCTGCTGGAAGACCTACAGGATTAAAACAATCTTCTCTTGCCAGGAGAAGTTCATTAAACTTCAGGACCTGAAGTTTCAGGTTCTATATGACTTACACAAGTATTGTCTAAATCAAGTGGTTCTTTTTAAATATTTTATTTTTAAGCAATTTTTGTTTTATTGCTTGTAGGAGAAAACAACTGATAGCCCCAGGAAAAGAAATGGTCATTGATCAATCTGTCTCATTCTACTGCTCCTTATTTTCAGAGTGGCAGGCAATACACTACCTTTTCAGCAGAATCAAGTCGGAGCCTTTTGATCTGTCTACTTTGGGTTCTCAAGAATGCAGATGAGACGGTTCTACAGAAGTGGTTTACAGATCTCTCAGTCCTGCAGCTAAACCGGCTATTAGATCTGCTCTATCTCTGTGTATCTTGCTTTGAATACAAAGTAAGTAATCATTATACTATTATTGTAAAGAGGAACAGGAAAGGAAACATAATGTGGAAAAGGAAGAAGAACATTTTCTCAGTGCCTCTTCTTTCCTTTTCTAATGTTTACATTTTAGGGAAAGAAAGTGTTTGAAAGAATGAATAGTTTGACCTTTAAGAAATCAAAAGATATGAGAGCAAAGCTTGAAGAAGCCATTCTTGGGAGCATAGGCGCTAGGCAAGAAATGGTGCGCCGAAGCCGAGGACAGCTTGGTACGTACACAATACCTTCTCCTTCTGGTGAGAATTTTTTCAAGTTTTTTGAACTATATATTATAACGATCATTGTTGCAAGTCTTCAATGACAATACTAAACTTTAAAAAAAGGTGTTTTAAATATAAATGTGAATTGACCTGAATAACCATTTCTCTGCAGGAATTCAAGCTAAAATTCTGATTTAAGTAGAATGAACACACTTCCTGATTTGCTCTGGATAGTCTCAGTGTATTGCTGTTGCCCTTGTGTGATTATTAATAGCATCCCTTATTTTAAAAAGTAGACTTTTTTAGACCAGTTTTAGGTTTACAGCACAATTGAGGTGTAGGTACAGCGATTTCCAATATACCCCTTATCCCCACACATGCATAACCTCTCCCACTATCAATATCCCCACCAGAGTGGTGCATCTGTCACAACTGATGAACCTACACTGACCCATCATATAACCCAGAGTGTGTAGTTTACATTAGGGTTCATTCTTTGTGACTACAGTCTTTACTCTTAAAACTTTCCTAGTTTGCACAATGAATTAATATACTCTATATCAAAGGCAAAGGTATTGCCCAACAAACTCAAATATCAGGGAGGAAAAAAAAAGTTTTATAGTCTTAAAGTCTTGTTTCTAATCCCAGATCTACTACTCATTAGCTATATAACCTTAGTCAAATCACTTAATCGCCCCAGTTTTCCTCATCCACTTGTGATTCTTTTGCAAATTTAAAAGGTAGTGTAATTAAGTGATCTTATCTTTGTGGGGACCATTTGTGTGTAAATATTTTGTAAATTCTAAAGTGACATACAAATAAGATTGTTGCTGAGAGCTCCTTAAGGTCAAGGACATGGCTTAGTCATCTGTGTGCATGACGCATGCTAACAGTTCCATATATATTTGTTGACTTAAAATATAAAAGTACATTTACATAAATATTGTTTAATTATTGTTTGCTGAAAGGCCATTAACACAATGATCTTTTTACTTAAGTGAACTTAAATATCTTTTATATGCTATGTGTGTTTGGAATTTAATAATGAATAAGACAAAGCCTTTGTCTTTAATAGAATTAATAGAACACAGTGTTTTCACTTTAGTTACTTACAGTTTACAGTAGACCTATGTGTTTTCTTTTAACTCATTTATTATGTACAACATCCTCTAAAAAAGCATTAAAATTAACTTTTATCTAGGTCATTTAATTATTACCAAAACTTAATGACTAATTATCTTCAGCTATAAGACAAAGAAAATAAAACTCATAGAGGTAAATAAATATCTTGCCTAAGATTATAAACTAAGTGACAGAACCAGGATCTTTTGACTTCCAATTTAGTATTCTTTATATCATACCACAGCTTTGTTTGAGGTTTATTGTTGGCAAGAGTGGAACCTTTAACAATATGTTTGTTACATTTTTAAACCAGTGGCCTTAGGACAGCTATCATTGTTTGAATGTAAGAATTGAATTTCTGTATGTGGAATCGAAAACCATCAAGCAAAAAACCAAAAATTGAACTCATAGATACAGAGACTAGGTGGTTGTGGGGGTGGGGGTGAAAAGGGGGTCAAAAGGTACAAACTTTCAGTTATAAAATACATAAGAACTTGGGATATAATGTGCAGCATGGTGACTGTGGTTAATGATACTATATTGTATATTTGAAAACTCAGAGGGTAGATCTTAGTTCTCATCATAAGGAAAAATGTGTAACTGTGGTGATGGATGTTAACTAGATTTATTGTGATCATTTTATAATATATGCATATATCAAATAATTATGTTGTACACTTGAAACTAATACTATATGTCAGTTATATCTCAATTAAAAAAAGAATTGAACTTTTTGTCTTATTAAAATTAAGCCGCTGTAATCCTTATTTACTTTTGAGCAGTTAACCTATGTCACCTACTGATAGACTAAGGAGATAAGAGACAATTTCATGAAAAAAAGTAATAAAAACATAAATAGATCACAGATATTTATTTTGTTAACTGTCTTAATATAGGCATATCATTTTTGTTTTCTTTCACAAAATTTCTTAAAGGTAGAGATTTCAAAAAAAAAAGAGCAAAGGAAGTTCTATTTGAATTCTGAATTTTCATTTTCATTTTTTGTTTCATACTCCCAACTAATTTGAAGTCTGTTTTTTGCAAAAGAAAGTTAGCTTTCTCATTGAGAGCCTGAAATCATGACTGATTCTATTGTTTAAATGTGTATTTCTCCGTGATTTCCCAATGCCTTCTCTACTGCTGCTGGATTTGTATGAATCAGCTCTATTGCTGCTGCCCCTTAAAGGACCCCATTCTGTTCAGTGTGCCTTCCATCCTAGACACCTATCTGGAGAAAGCCCCTATCTTTTTCTTGTCCTGCCTTCTGTGGGCCAAAAGAAGTAATTATTTAGGAATTCTCTTTATATTCTTTATTTATCCAACAAAAACTTATTGAGCTCTCAAAATGTGTCAGAAACTTTGTCAGCCCCAGACATAAAGTGGTAGACAAAAGGGGCAAATCTCTGTTCTTAGTATCTTATATTCTTATGGTCATTGCTATGGAGAGACATAACGCAAATTAAGAGGATAGGAAGTGTTAGGGAGATGAAAGCCTTTCTTCAGAGGTGGTGAATGATTGTTCTTCCCACATTTTCATTGGCCGATTAAGTAAAAGGAACAACAACCATTGCACAGGTCCCAAATGAGGAACGTGTATAGTGAGACTATATTCACAACACACACACACACACACACACACACACACACACACTAACTGTGATGGTATTAGAAAGAGGGAGAGTGGTAGGAAATAGTCTTGGCATATAGATATGTTTAAGAATTTGAGAAAGTCAGTGTTAGAAAATTTGCTGTTTAAAAGGGTTTTTTTTTTATGTTACATGTAGCAAATATATTTCTTCTGTAACAGTTGTGAAATTTTTTTTTTTAATTGTTAGTTTCAGGTGTACAGAACAATGCAAT